TTCCTTTCCTTTCCTTTCCTTTCCTTTCCTTGCCTCTCCTTCCTTCCTCTCCTCCCCTCCCTGAATAACAGAAATCTGTCCAGCACAGGCAAAGGAAAACAGTAAGATTTGTTTGTCCACTTTCAGCCTTATGTCCATTCCAGTTATATTTCACTTATCTTTGCTAAGACATCTCTAACATTTTTGTCTTCTCTTTGCTGATAGCTGATCAATCCTTTCCATTATTTGATTCATCTAGAAGATACCTTGTTGCCATCTTTTAATAGCCTATTATCTTCCCATAGTTTCAGTAATTTAACTTGGTACTTTCTCTGGTATAGACTTGCGTCCCTTGGATCTTCTCTCTGAAGTGGTTCCCCTGAACTGGGTGAAAAATGGAATACGAATGATTCAAATACAAGGAGCACGTGGCTTCCAGCTCTCTGCAACAAGCCCTCGCTTCCTCAGTTTTCCAGCATCACAGATTTTCATTTACTGTGACTTATTCCCAGAGGAATTCTCCATTGTGTTTACTATAAAAACTTCCCACATGCACTTCAAGGTAAGCATATGGTAGATTTTATCCAAGAGCAGAATTTTCATTTATTTAAAATTAAGATTGGTGTATTCGGTTTATAATTCTGGATGTTATATTCTCGTTAATTTAGCAAGCTTCACAAAATCATTCAAGTAATTAAGTATCTCTGATGAAAAACAGTGACAAGAACACCTTTAAGCATATTTGCTTGGATGCGAATAGACTCAGGTGCATGATAGCATCATTGTGTATTATTAAATCAAAATTATGCCGCAGCCTATCAAATTTAATTTTCAGGGCTTTAGGCAGAGATACACATTAGTCTAGATGACAAGATATATGTGTTTATTGATTGAACTTAATTTTTAAAAATTACATCCCTTTAATAACACAGAACTTTGAGAAACATCTTGGGGTTTGATGTAACTTTTCTTTTATGGACTGTGAAACTACAGGAAACAAAATTAATTAGGGATTAATTCCAAGAATACTTATTTATTCATAAACCCAACTGAGTCAATGAGCCTTACTTCCAAGTTAATCCTTGGATTTATTTAGGAACAACAGGAGCCAAAAATGAAGAGAAAGTGGAATGCAGTAGACTGTTCATCTTGTATGATGCTGTGAGTAATTGGGAGACCTGGATCCACATCTCCTCTTGGTTATGAACTCACTGACTTTGGACAGTATTTCTTTTTCATACTAGCTTGTGGTGAAAACAATAATGTGAAGGGAGACTGATATGATCTATGTTGAGGGGCTAAGGGAAAGGAGGGATATAAATATATTCATAAATAAAATTTGGAAGCTAACTGGTATAAGTAGATTAAGTAAGCAAACATATTTTGTGTTATTATTTTAATACAACTACAAAACAGAGAAAATAAAACTGGTGAATGCAAATAAACAATTATAAAAATCAGATAAAATAGTACACCAGCAGAATGTTGTAGATATTGGGTACCTGAACCTTAGCCAAGCCTTTGACTGAAACTCCGATAATATTCTCCTCTATAAAATGGTAAAATATAGATTAGATGATATACTGTTAGATGGACTCACTGCTGGCTGAATGACCACACCCATCGAGTGCTCACTAATGGCTCCACTTCATCTTGGGCGGAAGTATGGGGTGGAGGGCCACAGGGCTTTGTCCTGATCATTATGTTGTTCAATATTTTAACAATGACTTGTATGAGGTAGTTGAAGGGACGCTTATCAAATTTGTGAGTGACACATAGCTGGCAGAGTGGCTAACCCTTTGGAGGAGGGACAGAAGATTCAAAAAGCTCTAGACTGCCTTGAGCAATGGGCTGAAGTAAATAGGATAATATTTAACAGGGAGAAATGTACTATTCTACATCTCAGTAGGGAAAATGAAAGGCACAAATACTGCCTTGGTAGTAGCACATGTGAAAAGGATCTGGGTATCCTACGTGACTGCAGGTTAAGCATGAGGCAGCAGCACTAAAAAGGCATATGTTATCTTGAGGTACATTAACAGGAGCATCAAGTCAAGCTCATGGAAAGTAATTGTTCCATTCTGCTCTGTCCTCATCAGATTCACTTGAAATACTGTTAGTTCTGGCCATTACAGTTCAAAAAGAACAGTGACAAACTGGAGAAAGTTCAAAGGTCTGGGAGCCAAGCCCAGTAAGGAAATATTCAAGGATCCGAATATGTTTAGCCTAGCAAAGAGACAAATATAACAATCTTCATATATGTTACAGCTTGTCACACAGAAGGAAGCACAGATTTATTCTCTACCGCCCCAGAGAGCGAAGCCAGAATGAATGGGTTAGGACTGGAAGGAATATGTTCAGACTTCCTGGCTGAATAAACTGTCAGCCAGTGGAACAGGTTGCCACATTAAGTGGTGAGTTCTCCTTCACTGGAGTTCTTCAGAGGCTGGATGATCATGTGTCAGAGATTCTGAGTAGTGGACTAGACTAGACTTAGGCCTCTAAGATCATTCTATTATTCAAACACAAAAAGGAAAGAAAGAAAATACAACAATAATTGTCTATATAAGCACTGTAACAGTTCAGTTTCTAAGCAAATTAAACTTTGACCACGTAGAATCATATCATTCAGTCTTTCCTTGACGTCAATAGACCCCCAGTTCAAAGGCTGAAAGTTGACACATTTCATCAAGCCAGACTTTGGTATTTGGTATTCACGTGTCTTTCTAGGAAAACAATATGACCTTTTTGCAACAAACCAAGCACACCAAATCAAGCTATTCATATAGACACATTCCAAAATTTTGGAATATAACTTAACAGCACATAGACATCTATGATCATACCTTCCTTACAAGAACCTGGTTCACCATGGTAAGAATGTTCAACCACTGAGAAGCTATCAGTGGGCATGTCCAAAGCATGTATATTAATTTATCTTCAAATTTATTGCATTTCCAACATAAGAAGAGCAGCAACTAACATTTTTAATGTCTGCTGACAAATCAAATAGACCTCAAAAAGATTTTCTTAATGAACTAACATTTTAAGATAACAAGAAATGTATTCAACATTTTTAAAAACTATAGCCCATTGATTTTATAATACATGAAGCTATTCCAAATTTCTTGTTTATTACCCACATTTACTTTAGTAAAGCATTAAAATTATTGATAAAATGTCATTGTTGGTTTAACTCTAAAAGATTTTTTTCTAATATGTTCAAAACTGTAGAGGTTTTTCAGGCAGCTGATGCATCTGGTCCAAACAAACAGTATAACAAACGCATTAACTGAATGTATTGCCATTCATCTATTCAGCAAATTACATTCCTTTTGCAGTCTTTCAAAAGTTTTAAAAGTACCCTTTTAATGTCTGTGCGCTACTAGAAATACATGTGTGAGTAAACACAGTAGTATTGTACTACATTACAAGCGTGACTAATAAATATTAATGATGAATGAATGAAAGAATGCTATGGAAGAATGAAAAAATTCTAAAGAGGGATTTAATCCATTTGTGAAACATATTTATGCCTTGAAAAGCCTGTTTGTTTTAACTTGATTGGATCCTGAACTGTCTCTGCCCTGGCTTAATAGCCACTGTGTAGTAAAGAGGCAGATGGGTGCAATACTTACTAACTGGAATACTTACCCCTTTCTTAGGACTTGCTGCTTGGGGGAGAGAAGAAAGAGAAAAAAAAGAGGGTATCTGAGGGAGAATGAGTGTCCCCATTGACTTCTGCCTCTGGTCCTACCCCAACCCACCATGTGGTCCCCAACATATACCTCACAACAGGAAAAAGATTGCCAGTCACTGCCTCTGTGAAACTGATTATCCAAATGTGTTCCTAAAAACTGGAATCTGAAACCTTTGAATTTTAAGATTGGACCCAGATTAAGCAATCAGAACCGTTAATAAGGGCTAATGTGATGAGTGATAATTAGCACAATATTTAATAACTTCTTCAGTTTATCAGTACCTACTATATAAGCACAAGAGGCAACTTTCAAAGAAGACCTCCTACGAATTTACTACAAGAATCTACATGTACTGATATTTCATATTTAGCATGCAAGCTCTCTTATCTGATTGAAATCATTGTTTTAAACAGAGCATTAAATCTAGCAGTTTGTAGCTGTCTTACTATAACTGATAGTAAAGAGAAAAGAACCAGTTCAGCACTCATGCAGTAATAACACACCTGTTATTCACAATTAATAATATTAATTAATTAATTAATTAATTACTGTTTTTATCAAATTGATTTATATGCCACAAGCTTCAGTGTGATGTTTGACAGTGGCTAATATTAAGATTAAAATGTTAACATACAATTAAAAAGTAACAAAAAGCAAATAAAGTACGATCAATAGAGCCAGTTTGGTGTAGTAGTTAAGGTATCAGGCTAGAAAGCAGGAGACGTGAGTTTTAGTCCCGCCTTGGACATTAAGCAGACTGGGTGACCTTGAGCCCAGCCCTAGGAAGAAGACCACTTCCAAAACCTTGCCAAGAAAACTGCATGGGCTACTCCAGGTAGTCACCAGGAGTCAAGCCTGACTCAAAGGCACCAAAACAAACAAACAAACAAAACCCCACACACATATACAAAACAAAACAACTTCATAGTTCTAAGAACTAATTTGGTGTGATCCTTCTTTTTACCATTGGCTGTCGTGAAAATACATTATTTCTGTATTACGCTACCGTATTACAGTCAGCTTTGCTTACAGAATAAGAATACAAAAGTCCCAGGAAAGATGGATCTCAAAAGAAAAGAACAATTCTCAAAGCAGGAACATAATTTCTGTTGGAATAGGGCAAAAATCAACGAACAAATTCTTTATATCCAAATTGTCTTTTAAGGTATTTGCATGACTGCTATATTTTTATACACCTGGAAGTGTTCATAATGAATAAGCTTTCATTTACTCCAGTCCAGGGGTGGAAAGAAAGCTGATCGGTTACAGAAAATGAGAGCTTGGTGGAGAAAAAGGACTGGATTAAACGGTGAAAAGATCTGTGAACTTGATTCTGGTGCTGATCACAAATTCTTGGGCTCAGTATATGCTCAGCCTTAATCCAAGGTGTTCCTTACCTGAGACACTATTTTGTATTATGCCAGAAAGCCTGCAGGGGGAGTGTGTTAAGTGAGGGCACGTGATGAAATGTGCATAAATCTTTGGTCATCATGGTTAGCAGAGAACACCTACGAAGAGAACTCCCCATTTCTTTCTAGCTTATCTAACTAGAAAAGCCAACCCAGATCCCTATATACGTTGTCCAGATTATGATTTATTAGGAAGACAGATGTAAATAAAAAGGAGCAAAAATGGTCATGAGTACATAGTGCATGTGCACAACTGAAATTCCTGTAAATTGCATAAGTGCCTTTCTTACGTACACTCAGTGTTTAACAAATGTCACAATAATTGTTATATTTTCTAATCCTCTGAGTCCAGGGATCAATGTAGCTTTACAGTATTCTTACCTAGTCCAAAGCTAGTATAAGAAAATAATGCCTTTCAGGCTAACTGGCTTCATTAACTATGTTTTCAGAGAAATGAGTACATCTTCACAGTTTTGGATGAAAACAGTGACACGCTGCAGCTCGGACTCCGATATTCACAGAGTAAACTTCACTTTCTCTTCTGGAGCAGAGACCTTCTGAATGGTTGGCAGACACAAGTTACTTTTCGGGATATCTTTTTGGCGGACAACCAATGGCACACGCTTGTATTGGCAGTATCTCAAGGCTCTTTTTCGCTTACTGTGGATTGCAGCATCCCCACAGATGTGTACGTGAAGCACGTACAATTCAGGGGTAATTTAACCATAACCACCTCTTGCAGTTGGGGCTGCAAGAGGTTTGGCACTCCCCAGCTGGGCACTCATTCAGTGCATGTTGATTTCTCCATGAGAGCTATTTTCTCACCTAAATAGGACAGGTTCTTCTGTTTTGTAATCTAGAAAATTTAGTTGCAGGTATGTTAGGTAACCAAAGATGTGAGATATGGGTGTCATAATTCTGTTACAGTAATCAAGGAGCATTGATAACACATACCAATTTCATTCATAGCAGAGGAACATTTGTTAGGCAAGGCAAATCCATATGAATATGTGAAATTACTACATTGATGAAATTGCAACCCCCCCCCACCCCCAAGAATCCTAATTCTTAACACCCCAAGTTACAAGCACCAAGTTATGGAAAATATATTACAGTATAACCATTGTCTGGTCATCTCAGGATTTTCAAAGGATGGGTAACAAAAAATATTGGGACATTAAAACAACAACAACAACATGCCATTGAACAGGGCATGGACACTTTTTCAGAGTAGCCCAGCACAACTGGAAGCCCTCCAGGAGGCAAAAATTAGCTTGAATGGCAATGAAATGCAAATTGCCTGTCAGTTCCCAAACATACACATGAATTGCTGTGCTAGCTATGCTATTATCACACGTTTCTCAGTTTTGTGAGTTCAAAAGATAAATATTTAAAGAGAAAGTGTACACAAAGTGCATGCAACAATAACAATGATCACAAAATGCATTCTGTATGAAATTATATATATTTGAAAATGCATATTTTGTGTGAACTTAGAAACAGTTGCAGACAGAATCAGAAAGAGAGAAGACTGAATGTAAATGCTAGAAAAATGAACCAAATTCACTTATTCCCACTCCAGGCAATCCAGACAATTTAATCAGAGCTCTACTTTAAATCAGAGTGCTCTCATTCTGTATTTGACTTTATAGTTCACAATCATGGATTCATATAACTTCCTTTTTCACTTGTTTTAGGATTGCAGATACTGCTTTTCCAGCTTTCTTGACTATGACAGGAACCCGATTTTATATAGGAAATAGAAAGAGAAGAAAAGGTTTATTTACTGTGAGTATAACTGCCAATATTCATCGTTCTGAAGAGGTTATTCTAATTATTCTGGTGACAGTTACCCACACTTATTATATTTGGGTTGCAATTTTTTCCTATCCATTTATTTTAGTTTCATATGATTTTCTGTCAAAGCTTCTCCACAAGGAATCTTGAGAGTTACTGTTTGATGAGAGTCCAGGGAATTGTTAGGCGTTCACAGTCCCTCTATGAAAATATAGTTCCAGGATAACCTTGGAATGGAAATCAGGATGAAATCGAGTATGCAAATTAGGACAGTTCCTATTTAGGGTTCCAACTGGCCACTATTACCAAATAAAGCATTTTAAGCCTAGTTCACTCCCAGTTTTTTTCTGTTTTTCTTTTACAACTGTTATTTAAAATTCTTGAGTAATTCAGCATGCTCACTTATTTTTTGTGGGGTGTGGGTTGGAGGGGAGCTTTCTTTAAGGTTTCCACTAGCTCCATTTTGGTTATGCCACATATTACCTGAATTTGCTTAGCAAGTTTTACTTATAAATGATATTTCAATCATGAATTAAAACAGCTATAAGGCATTAAGTTGGACAAGCCTAACTTTGGACAACTCTTACAACTCTGTGTCTATTCTCTCTTCCCCAGTTTCTCAGAACCAAACCAAGATTTCAGATGTTCAGGAGAAAAAGCTTACCTTAATCTCTGCTGAACTGCTTTATCTCAACCAGCTCATTTGCTTATCCATCTAAATATTTCCTAAATTTACCAACTGGGAAGTATGGCCTTTTGGCTATTCAACCTTGCAGAAGATGTCATTCAAACGTACATGCCAGAGTCCTTTTGATTGCATTTTGCATAAAGTCAGTCAAAATAGTTTTATGAAGTTCTCCACAAAATTTGTGGGCAGAGAAATAAGGTGGATGATTTATTTTAATTTCTCCATGGGAAGGAAAAGAATTCCAACAATTTCTTTAAAAGCAAGACCCCATCCTCTTAGTGGTGACAATAGTAGTACTACTAAAAATGCCAATGGGTGAAGCTATCCCATGATGTCATCTCTTGATTTAATGAAGGCTGATTATAGATCACAAGAGAGAGGATTCTGCAGTGTAAGAAGTGACATTCATTGCAAATACACATATACAGCAATTTTGTAACTAAATCACTGTAACACCATCACGTTCCACCCATGAGAACTGATCCAAAATTATCTTCTTCAATGAAAGCAAGTTCTCTTTTATTAGAATGAACACTGGTAAGAAAAAAATGCTGGAGAAGTTCTCTCAGCCCAGCACTAGGTTTGTAAATAACTTAATTATTTATTTTTAAAATATTGTATAACTACCATGTTAAAACAACTCTGGGAAGGCATTGCCCCAAAGAGCAAGTGTTTATTTATTTTATTTATTTATATTTCAAATTTGTCACTGCCCATCTCACTGCCGAGTGACTCTGGGTAGTGTTCTCTATCTTTGCCACTGGTTCAAGTAAGCTGACCTCCTCTTCTCCCTGTTCCCATATTATATATAGGTATTTAAATGGAGGCATTAATAAAGACTGACATTTCTGCAATAACCAACAGTACATTCTGTTCAAACATCATAAAACTCTCAATGCAGACAAAGTTCTGCACAAGATCAGATGAACAGCTTTGTTCTTCCCATACCCAATTACACCAAGAGAAGCCCAAGCCCTAATCCTATGGGAACACTATAATTTTCCTTCTTCCCTGAGGTATTTCCAAATAAATTGCAAATACATAGATAGAATGGCTTCTTTTCTATTTTGGATTAGTGGTGATCTTTTTTTGCTATTTTTTCAGATGAGTCAGCAACAAACTTTCTGAACAGATGTTGCAACAAATAACATAGTATATTCTCTGATTAGTATTGGGCGGTACAATTAAGCAAAAGATAAACTTCTTTCTTCCTCTAAACTAAGGGAAGAAGTGTTGAGAGTGGTTGAAAGAGGTATCTGGTTCAAGATAAGTTTGGGTATAGGGAGGATGGTGTAAAAGTAGCCAAAGGGAGTACAAGATAGGAGTTGATGATAAGCATACAAAAGCAATGGGGAGTAAACCAAATACTCAAAAGTATCACTACAAACATCACCTAAAGAAATCTCAAAGTCAAAGCAGAGTACCTGAGATTAGAAGGAAACATGGATATAAAACATGGTGGAACTGTGATAATCAATAGAATTCACTTCTTAGATACTTCATTATTTCTTTAAAACATGTTTACAGCTTAATAAAATTCCCAGGAAGGCTTGTAAAGTCATACAAAGAAGATAGATGACAGAAGAATGAAAATCTAGAGAGATAAAACTTGGCAATATAAAAATAGAAGTCATTGGTATAATGGCAAATTTGAGCAGATTAAAAGGTGTTTATCTGGTGGTGGAAGGACACTAAACCCAGTGCCAGAAGAACTGCTCTGGGAGGGCATATCCAAGAAGGTGTGATGAAATGGTAGTTACTTGCATTCCACTAAAGTAAGTGAGGGATTAATTGGGCCCTTCTTTATAAGAAAGATGGGGCATAATGCCAGAGAATGTGGAGGGAAGTGTGAGAAGAGAGGAAAGGAGACATCAGTATCTAGAAAAGAAAAGAGACATTGGTAGCCATTGCAAAAATGTAAACGTCACTCTATAAGTAAACACTGAGTTCTGTTTTTTTAAGCAGACACAACTTACATCCCATGTTATCTGTTCATATAATATTTTTGTAAAATAAAGTTTTAATTGTTTATAAACAGCTGGTCCCCTGATTAAAGGAGAGTCGTAATATAATTAATTCCCTTTCCCCGACATTTAAGATCCTGCTCAAACAAAGCTGATAAGGGAGAACATAACATCAATACCTTTTAAGTTTAACATTTTGGGGAGGTAACAGCAAGATTTTAAATTATATTTATTTATCCTAAAATAAACTTAGGAGAAATTAGGCCACTTCTGACCAAATAAAGGTAGTCCTTGGTTAACAACCATGAGTTCAGCAACTGTTCAGTTATGACTGCGCTGAATGAGATTTATGGCCATTCCTCAAAGTTGTGACCCTCACAGCATCCCCGTGGTCATGTGATCATGATTTGGGTGCTTGGCAACTGGCTCACAATTACAATGGTCACAGTGTCTCACAGTCAGGTGATTGCCATTTGCAACCTTCATGGCCAGCTTCCAATAAACAAAGTCAATGGGGAAGCTGTCAGGAGGTCACAAATGGTGATCATGTGACATTGTGCCTAACAACCATGCAGGATTTGCTTAATGACCACAACTGGAACTGCTGGAACTGCTGTCATAAGTCGGCACAGTCACGTGACGTCACGCTTTTTGACAGCATTGGTTACTGACAGAGTTCCCAGTCCCAATTACCGTTGTTAACCAAGGACTATCTGTAAACTCAGTTTTGCCACCTTAGACTTCCAGGAAAAATGAAAATCGCTCCTCTCTGGTCATCACTTGCTCCAATTTAAAAGACCTGTGGGCGTTAGGGAATGGCTTCTGATAATATTCTTGATAAGCAGCCAGGCTCCTATGGAATGAAGGCCTTCTTTTAGACATCCAAGTCCCAAATGTGTTGCATTCTAAAAGGTAAAGTTCAGGTCTAGTGATACAACCTAAAGAAAAGACAGAAAGTAAAGCCTGGTACACCTAACACACATAAGAAGAAACTGTCACATAAGAAAACAAATCAGAGTCAGTTTGGGCATGAGAAAGATACAGTGTATGAAACAAATGAAGCTGTCAAGGCAGAATGGTAGCATCATCCTTAATGTGACAGATTACCTGGATTAACAGGGTTTAACAATACATGTAACAAACTGGTGTATAATGTTCTAAACTGTACTCTCATACAAAGCAGCCTCAGGGTTTGGGTTTTTAGAGTCTTATGGGATTGGATTACTTTTTACTAGAACTCTGACAGCCAGTTTGGTGTAGTGGTTAAAGGCACCAGGCTAGAAACCAGGAGACTGTGAGTTCAAGCCCCGCCTTAGGCATGAAGCCGGCTGGGTGACTTTGGGCCAGCCACTGTCTCTCAGCCCTAGGAAGGAGGCAATGGTAAGTCACTTCTGAAATATTGCCAAGAAAACTGCAGGGACATGTTCAGGTAGTTGCCCAGAGTCAACACTAACTCAAAGGTGGATACACACACACACACGCACAAAACCCTCTGAGAGTCACTAAACAGACTCAAGCAAAAAATAAGTAGCTCAGATGGGTGGATGAAAGGTAAGAATTAAGGAACAGAGTGCCTCTGAGCGTATGCTCAGTCCAGGGGAAAAAAACTACCCTTCTGTTTTCACTCCAATATTATTTTTTTTTTTATTTCAGCAGTCAACTTATTTTTAAAGATGCAACTGATGCTGACAGTGGGCTGGGATTCTCTTGTTGTGGAAGTTGAAGTCTGATAGTAGTTTCTACATTAAATTCTACAGCAGATAAAAACAGCTTTGTAAATAACCAAGTTCTTTTGCATTCAGAAAAGCATATTTATTTTTTGAAATAATTTTTTGCAGGAAAATGCCTTTTCCCTTCCTAATGCTTTGGAGTATAGCTCAGCAGCTATTTATTGTACTTCCTTTTTAAACAATGTTGATTGAAATGTTCTCTACTGTTATCAGACAGAGCTTTTGTAAAGATAGGTAGAATAAACAGGCAGTGAAAAAATACTAGCTGAAGTGGTTTATACTGGTTTTATCTTGCCCTTTAAGTGATACATTTAGCTCAGGCTGTGATTTCAGAAAGCCCAAAGCAGACATCTCAAGCTTGAATATAGTGAAAATGCAAATGGATTCACCACATCTGTTGGGCATGTGCTCAGTATAGGTGACTGGACCAGGAATATTACAGCAAGACTAGAACTTGCTGGAACATAGTACTGTAGTCCATTAGGGAGTTCAAAATTAGACCTAAGAGACTGAAAATAAATTTTGACAAAATTCCATTGAGAGAAAAACATTAAAGGGGTTCAGGTTATGTATCTGGAGGTTCTTTGATGCTTTTCCAGATGAATGAAAGTCTTAACGAAGCTATCATTCCAGACTAGGGGTGTACAATTGGAGTGGGGCATTCAGGGTCTTGTTCAAACCTTCTTAGATAGCCTAAAGCCTGTTGATGTATTTAAGCTCAATTGTCACATGCTCAATTGTGCTGGTGTAGTTTATTTGTACTCAAACGGCTACTTTGAGATCTGTAATGGAATATTTGGAGGTTATTGAAGTTGGGTCTTCCTTCATTCCTTTTGCTTTGTTATTTCTTTGGTGTAGTTTATTTGTACTCAAACGGCTACTTTGAGATCTGTAATGGAATATTTGGAGGTTATTGAAGTTGGGTCTTCCTTCATTCCTTTTGCTTTGTTATTTCTTTGGTGTAGTTTATTTGTACTCAAACGGCTACTTTGAGATCTGTAATGGAATATTTGGAGGTTATTGAAGTTGGGTCTTCCTTCATTCCTTTTGCTTTGTTATTTCTTTGTCCTTATTTTGAGTCCTGATGTTTTCTTCCCATTAATTCTTTTGTGCAAAGTCTGGTCTGTTTGTCCTACATAGCATCCAGAGGGGCGTTGCTGGTAGGTGGCAAGAAGCAAGTCCTTTGATCACAGCCCAAAACAAAGGCCAGTGCAAACATAAGATGTGATTTTTATCGAAGTACAGCTAGCCCAACCTTGAAATTTGTTTTGAGAGGCCGATCTCTGTTTTCAAACACATTGCAATTGTGTTTGAAGCAATTGACAGATAGTACCTCTTAATGCATCAAGAATATTTTTCTCTCATGGTCTCACACATGTGGAAATAGGGGGTTGGATTTTAAGGTCAGAGGTGTAGCTTCTAGGCTGACTTAAGTCCTATCCTCCTCCTCCTCCTCCTCCTCCTCCTCTGTGGAAAATCACCAACTATTGTCCCCAGAAGAGCTTTTGATATTGATTCCCTAGTCTTTCTTCCTCTCTTTTCAGGGCTTGATAAGGCAGCTAGTCCTGTTGCCAGGATCTGATGCCACTTCAAGGATGTGCACTGGCATGAATTTTAATCTAGCAGTGCTGTCCATCCCCCAAATTCTGCAGGATCTGCCTGTGAAACCTGCGGGCAATGAGCTGCTGAAATACCCTTACGGTTAGTAAAATAAAACATAATTTTTCAGGTGGTTTGTTCACCAGCTTGTATTAAAAACTACAGACCAGAGCAATGTTGCAATTTTACCAAATGTCTGGAAACAGTGAAGCTCTTTTTTAGGGATAGATGCTAGTTAATAACTAGAGTATTGAACCATTGAAATCACTGCTGCATTCTGGATCAGTTGACAGTCTGGATCAGCCTTATGTAAAGTATAGTACAGATTTTAATGGCAGGCATTCCAGAGGCTAGGCAACTTTGTCTGCTCTTTAAAAAGTTAATCAGAATCAGACCTGGCCAGTACTCGCATGGGAAACCACTATGCAAATCCCAGAGATGTAAGCAAGACTGGGGAGTGAAAAAAGGGAAAGGCAATGGTAAATCACTTTTGCATTTTTGCCAAGAAAACTACATGACATTACCAGTCAGGAGTTCAGCTTGGCTTGAGTACAGCTCTACTTTTAGCACTGTGGCTAGATCTCTTTTCCCCAGAGCTTCTGGGAAAAACTTTGGGTGGTAAAAAATACTTCCGCTCACAGGTATTACAGGTGAAGGTGGGGGATCCAGAGTATTTCCAGGTGGAGGCTCAAGTCATTTACTGTGCTAAGCCATGGATTGTTTAACCACAGTAAATCACAACTGACTGAGTTAAAATGGGTTGTTAAGCTATAGCCTACATGAAGTCAAAACCAGCAAACCACAATAAGACTTAGTGCTTTATGCACAAAGCCTGTGTATTTCCTTGGAAAGTGGTACACCAGCCCATTTGCAGAAGTTCAGGACCTACTCAGCATGGCTAACAGTGTGTTCAGGAATATCCCCCATCCCTAATCTAGCTTATCTCTTCCTTCCATTCCCCTACACTCCCCATCCACAATGCCATACAGCCTGAACTGAGCTTCAGGAAATCGACTGCATTGCAGGATTTGAGGAAGGGCCACCATTCACTTTCTTATAACCAGACATTCATATCCTCATATCACCTTCCCCCATCATTTCATATAGTAGTTAAGTACCTTGAGAAGCAAAAGAGTACCCTGTGGGATTCCTTAGGATAATATCCAAGGTGTTGAGTCCCATAACATAACTGTCCCATAACATAACTGTCTGGGAAGACTAACGGCCATTGCTTTGCTTACATGGCTTAATAAAACATCAACATTGAGGCACATTGGATAATGAGACTAGGACTCATGTGTGTGTGTGTGT